GGGCATTTGGTGGTTTTTCTCTGCCAGCCAACAGTTCAGTCTCTGCAGCCTTGACTCTTGGTATGACAGTTCTTTTGTGCAGTTATTTAATATTTCATTGCCTTGTTCTTTAAAGGGCAAAAACTTGAAAAGTGAAAGCACTAATATTGATTATCAAAGTGCTAATATTTTGACCTTATAGTAACTGAGACAAAAATCAGAAATTATTGAGTATGTTGAAAACAATAAATTTTTACTCATTGGATGTGAGTCAGTTTTCCTGGGTAGAAAAATAATTAAAGAATACAATTACAATGTTAGGCACATAATATCAACAATCCAAAATTCCATCAACAATTGAACAGATAAGTCAGCTGTAGTACATTCAGTCCCTGGAATAACAACATCAACCAAAAGAATAAACTACAACTACACTCAATAGACAAATAGAGAAAAACCAATAAACCAATGAAATATAAAGTTGGTTCTTTTTGTTTTTTGGGTACCAGGGATTGAACTCAGGGACACTCAACCACTGAACTATATTTCCCTATTTTGTATTTTATTTAGAGACAAGGTTTCATTGAGTTGCTTAGAGTCTCGCTAAGTTGCTGAGGCTGGCTTTGAACTTGCAATCCTCTTGCCTCAGCCTCCCAAGCTGCTGAGATTACAGGCATGTGTCACCACACCCAGCCAAAAAGTTGGTTCTTTTTACCAAAAATAAATTAAATCAATAAATATACAATCTACAGACGAAATAGGTTAATGGTTGCCTAGGGAATGAGTTGATGGGTAGATGGGAAATTTGTTGGGGGGTGATGGCTAAGAAGACCAGAGTTTCTTTTTAGTGTAATGATAATATCCTAAAATTTATTGTGGTGTTGAGTACACAGTTCTGTAAATATTCTCAAAGCCATTATATTATATACTTTAAAGTGTGAATTATGTGTCATGTGAATTATATCTCAATAAAGATGTTTTTAAAATGAAGTAGCTGTGCACACTTTTAATCCCATATTCAAGAGGTTAAGGCAGGAGGATCATAAGTTGGAGGGCAGCCCAGGCAACTTAGTGACACTCTGTCTTAAAGTAAAAATATAAAGGGCTGGGGGTGTAGTTCAGTGGTAGAGCACCCCTGAGGTCAGTCCCCAGTACAACTAAATAATAATATTATTAATAATAATTAATGAGAAAGACATTTCTAGATAATCAAAAGCTAAGAGAATTCATTACAAGCCAAACTGCTATGTAAGAAACACTAAGGAGAGACCTTCAAGATGTAAAGAAAGGACACTAGGCAGTAACTTGAACCCATTAAAGAAACAAGGAGCACCAGTAAAGGTAACTACATGAATAAATAGAGAGGACAATATAAATTTCTATCTTGTTTATCATATTTCTTTTCTCCAATCTGATTTAAAAGATAACTACATAAAGCAATAACTATAAATTTATGTTGGTAATCATATAAAGTGGTGAGTTCATGTAATATTAGTACAAAAGAGGGGCAAGGAATGGAATTATATAGTAGCTTAGTTGTATAGGTTGTTGAAACTAATAATATGCAAACTTAATATTAAAGTGTATATTAACCCGAACTAGCTTATTATGTTATTGTAATCCTCAGGACAATCATTAAGAATACAGAGCAAAACATGTGGTAAAAGAGCAAAAGGAAATCTAGTAGAGGAAGGAGAAGAGGGGAGGGCAGGAGGAGAAAGAGGAGGGAAAAGGGGAGGTCATGAACTGAAATCTATTTCCATGAATGTATGAGTTTGTCAGGATGAGCCCAATTACTATGTATAACCATTAATTCTAATTAAAACAACTTATTGTAAAAGAAATGACAAGGTAATTAAAATGGTCTACTAGGAGCTGGAATATAGCTCAGAGGTACAATGCTTTCCTAGCATGCACAAGTTCCTGGGTTCAATTCCTGGCACTGCTAGAATAGATAGATAAATGATTGATAGATAAATACATAAATAGATAGATAGATGATTGATAGAGAGATAGATACATAGATACATAGATTGATAGATAGATAATAAAAAATAAATAGGTACACGAAAAATATCTGTTTAACACAAAAGCATATAGTAATGGAAGACTAGAAGCACAAAAAAGACATAAGACACATAGAAAACAAGCAACAAAATAGTAGATATAAACCCTACCTTATCAGGAATTATATAAAATATGAATGAATCAAACACTTCAATAAAAAATTAAAGATTGGCAGAATGGATTTTTAAAAATGAACCAAGAACATACTGTCTATGAAAAACACACTTTAGCCATGCCTGTAATCCCAGCAGCTCAGGAGGCTGAGGCAGGAAGATCATGAGTTCAAAGCCAGCCTCAGCAAAAGCAAGGCCCTAAACAACTCAGTGAGACCCTGTTTCTAAATAAAATACAAAATAGGGCTAGGATGTGGCTCATAGTTTCAATATAAGAGGATGGAAAGATATTTATGATACAAATAATAGCCTAAATAAAGTTGGATGGCTATCCTAATATTAAATAAAATAAGAGTCCCCAAAACACATGAAGCAAATTCTGACAGAATTAAGAAGAAATAGACAACTCAACAATAATATTTGAAGAATCTGATGCCTCACTTTTGTTACTGATATAACAATTAGAAAACAAAAAAGATCAACAAGGAAATAGAAAACCACATACTTTATAAAATTCTAGGGAAGACAGAAGCCTTCCCCTAAATAAATGAATACACTAACAAATAAAAATGTATATGTTGTTGGATTCAACATACAAGTTCAGCAAGGCTACAGGATGCAAGATTGATGTACAAAATTCAATAATATTCATGTACAATGACAATAAACAATCCAAAAAATGAAATAATTCTGTTTATAATAAAAATTGAATTTGTATAAAGAACAATAAAATATTGCAGGCAAAATTTAGCCAAAAAAGTGCAAACTGAAAACATAAATAACTACAAAACATCAAGGGAAAATCGTAAAGACCCAAAGATATAGGAAGATATTCCCATGCTCATTAATTGGAAGCTAATAGTAAGAGGATAGTGCCTCCAAATTGGTCTACAAGAGCTGATACAATTTATATTATTTCAGCTGCTTTTCGTTCCCCAGAAAATTTCATGCTGATTCTATAATTTATGTGGTATACTCCCCCTACTATATATATGTGTGTGTGTGTGTGTGTGTGTGTGTGTGTGTGTGTGTTTGGTAGCAGGGATTGAACCCAGGGGCACTTAACAACTTCCAATCCCCCTGCCTCAGCCTCCTGAGCTGCTGAGATTACAGGTGTGCCATGGTACCCAGTTGCACTACCCAATTTTGAAAGTTACTATAAGACAGAGCGAAACCGGAATAATGATAAACATATATCAATAGAAGAAGTTTTAAATTCCAGAAATAAACTCTCACATTTCTGGTCAATTCATTTTTGACAAGGGTGTCCTAACCATTAAATGGGGAAAGAATAACCTCTTCAACAAATTGTGGTGGGACAAATGGATATACAAGACAACAGAATGAATTTGGATCCCTACCTCATACCATACAAAAACTAACTCAAAATACATCAAAGATTTAAATGTAAGACCTAAAACTACAAAACTCTTAGCTGAAATGTGGGTCCCTGTGATTTTGAGTGTGGCAATGATTCCTTAGATATGACACCAAAAGCACAAAGAACTAAAATAGATGACTTGGATTTCATCAAAATTACAAAAATTTGTTTTGCATTTCAAAAAACACTGTCAAGAAAGTAAAAGACAACCCACAGAAAATACTTGCAAATCATATATCTAATGAAGATCTAGTTATCTAGAGTATATTATAAGCTGTCACAACTCAACAATAAGAAACCAACCCATTTTTTCTTGCCATCATAGAAAATGATGAATTAAGCAGAATTTATTTCCAAGCTCCTCAAAAATTATTACAAACACAAAGTATCCTTCTAAAAATGTCCCGAATTAAATCAAAGGCACATCATCAAAGTAAAACACTGTGGCATGAAGAATTCTTTAAAGTTGTAATATTTTCATGTTTCTTTGTTCTTAGCCATTTGCAATGTTTATATGTGGGCCATATTTTAAACATTTTTTAAAAGACATGAAACAATGTAGTATTTTAAAAAAACTGCAACCACTACTATAAGGTAAAGGAACTTAAAAAGAGATTTTATCAGTTTCATATGTGTTTTAGTCAGTTTTTTCACTGCTATGACCACAAGACCTGACAAGAACAACTTTAGAGGAGTAAAAGTTTATTTGCCACTAGGATTTCAGAGGTCTCAGGGCATAGATGGCAGATTCCAATCCTCAGGGCCTGAGGTGAGGCAGAACATCATGGCAGAAGGGTGTGACAGAGCAAAGCAGCTCAGAAAATTGCACTAGGAAGGTGTGTGTGTGTGTGGGGGGGAGAATGAGAGAGAGAGAAAGAAAGAGAGAGAGAGACTGAGACTCCCTCACCATAGACCACCTATGTGCCCCAAAGGCATGCCCCCAATGACCCACCTCCTCCATCCACACCCTAACTTCCTAACTACCACCCAGTTAATCTCTATCAGGGGATTAATGCATTGATTAGGTTAAGATTCATAATCCAATTGTATCGTCTCTAAACTTTCTTGCGCTGACTCACATATGAGCTTTTGGGGGACACCTCATATCTAAACCATAACAATACACAAGATGGGAGAACCTAATATACATCATACCAATAACCTTTCCAAACTAGTTTGCTAAGAAACATCTCCCATGTTTAGTGTTACAAATAAAACAACTTTCTTCCTTTAGAAAAATTAAGTCATCATTGAATTAGTAATGCCTATTCTTTCTTCCCTCCAATTTTATACTTTCTTATCTTTACTTAGTAATTGCAAATTCAGGATAAAAGAACAAATTTTATTGTAGTATAAAAATCTTAGAAACCAGAAATTACAAATATTCATTTTTTAAATAAATGAAAATGTTTTCTTTCCTAAAATGTAAGCATCCAACAAATAAAACATACATGATACTCTAGGTTTAAGTCATGAATTTTAATATATTAAAATTGAATTTGTATAAAGAACAATAAAATATTTCAGTTCACCACCTGATGAATGGTAAGTTTTTTTTGCTTATCTTCATATAAAGCACTTTACCAAGAATTGAGCCATTATTATCTAAAACTCCACTCCTTCAGTCAGTTTCCTTATTTGAGCGGAAAATCACAAATTTCTGTAGAATTTTGGCTGCAGGACCAGCCACAGGGAAGGTCTGAAATATCTCAGTCATTTGGCTGGAGAAAAAGGTTTTCTTGAGACTTAAAGGCATCATTCATCACATTGTGTCTGAAGGGCCTCCTCCACCAACTGCTGCCCTGCACTCTTCAGAGTAAGGCTCAGGATCTGGGCTCCTGGCAGGGGTCGCTTCCAACTGGAACACAGACAAGCAGAGCATTCTGGCAGCCATTCTGCACCCTGTAGTGATGAGGCTCTGAGGCCCCTGGAGAGACCATGATCCTCTCCACCCCAACCTCCAGCCTGAGCTGCTCCATCAGGCTCTGGCAGGTGCTCATGCTGGCCCCTGAAGACACGGTGGATTTTTCAAATGGGTGAAGGTTTTGAATAGACGTTTCTCCAAAGAGGATCTATAATAGATGACAGGTATATGAAAAGATGTTCAACATCATTAGTCATTAGGCAAATGCAAATCAAAACCACAATGCATACCACTTCACACCTATTAGATAATTATAATCAAAAAGATGAATAACAAGTACTGGTAAGAATTTGGAGAAATTGAAACCCTCACATATTTCTGGGGTGAACATAAAATGGGGCAGTTGCAGCTGCAGTAGAAAACAGTTTGGTCGTTTCTCAAGAGTTAAACATGGAGTGGCATGAGACCAAGCAGTTCCATTTCTAGGTATATGTCCAAGACAACTGAAAACAGATGTGCACACAACAACTTGTACACAAATGTTTGTAGCAGCCTTATTTGTAAGAACGAAACAGTGGAAACAACCCAAAAAAATATTCACCACCTGATGAATGGACTGTGTAGCATATCCACACAATGGAATATTATTGGGTCATAGAAAGGAATGAAGTACTAATACCTGGTACAACATGGACAAGCTCTGAAAACAGTAAGTAAAAGAAGACAGCCACAGCCAGGTGTGGTGGCACATGCCTGTCATCCCAGCGGCTCAGGAGGCTGAGGCAGGAGGATTGAGAGTTCAAAGCCAGCCCCAGCAAAAGCAAGGTGCTAAGCAACTCAGTGAGACCCTGTCTCTAAATAAAATATAAAATAGGGCTGGGGATGTGGCTAGTGGTTGAGTGCTCCTGAGTTCAATTCCCAGTACAGCCCCCCCAAAAGAGGACAGCCATAAAAGACCCACATGTTATATAATTTCATGTATATAAAATGTCCACAATAGGCAAATCCAAAGAAATAGAAAGTATTTTAGTGCTTGCCAAGAGTCAGGATGTGGGGAGTTGGGAAATGACTGCTTACAGGAACAGGATTTCTTTTGGGGGTGATTTAAAAAAAAAAGCTTGTCACATGCCTAGAAGGCACAAAGCTCTGGGTTCAATCCTCAATCCAAAATTAGTCAGCAGGCATAGTTGTACATGGTTGTATAACACTTGTGAAATTTTTTTAAGAAACACCAAATTTTGAACTTTAAAAGAATCAATTTCATGGTTTGTGAATTATAACTCACCTTTAAAAAACACTAAGAAGTATGAGCAAGTAAAATACATCCCAGGGATACAAGGTTGGTTTACCATTTAAAAATCAGTTGTCATTGCTTCACTATGCATGTGTCTTTCAAAATAAGTGTATCAAAATATCCAGGTGCACATCTTGGATATATGCAATAAAAAGTGGCTTTTTAAGAAAAAAAAAACCGCCATTATAATTTATCATAAAGAGAGAATAAAGAAGAAAAACCATAGATTTATATCAATAGATTCAGAACAGGTAGTTGTCATTTTGTCCAGTGACAAAATTCAGCACACATTCAAGACCGCCCTCAGCAACTTAGAAATGGGAGGGAATTTCCTCAACATGATTAAAGGACTTCTACAAAAAAACCCTGCAACTTACTTTATATTTAATGATAAAAGACTGAATGCTAATCTCTTAAGACCTTTATTCAACATCAAACTGTACAAAAGGCAAATGCATTTTTTTAAAAAAGGAAATAAATTGGAAAAGAAGAGTAAACTGTCTGTATTCACAGACAACATAAAATTATCTGAGAAAATCCTAAAGAATCTCCATAAGGAAATTAAAAAAAAAAGAATCTATGTAAGAGTGAATGGAACTAATAATCCCTTGACCCAACAGAAATGACAGCACTGTCCTCCAAGAGTTGACAGGAACACGCACGGTCACGTCATTCACAACACCCAGCCTGGAAACCCGATTGTCCCCTAGTGAATGGATGACAAACTGCCCTTGGTGAAGGCATCTTTGGACCCTGTAGCAACTGGACCTTCACCCTGTAGAGTCAGAAGAGGTGGGACAGGTAAGAGATACTAACCCTGTCTGCACATGACCAGCCCCGAAGACCAGGGAGAGAGAGAGTTGGTCCACAAGGAAGGGGTGAAGGTCATAGGTGAGGCTAAGCAAGAGAGAAAGACCTCAAGAGAGAAAGGGTCCAAGGGCACAGAAGCTGTGAAAAGGGTGATTTTGGCAGGGGGAGGGGGGGGGACACTGAATAAAGAGGATTTTTTTAGAAAGTTGCTACTGATATGATATGACACTGAACTGGGATGGGCCCAGTTTGATTCAGGCCAAATAAAATTAATAGAACAGCAGGAACAGCTGATAGGCACTGCATGCTTACCAAGCACTCATCATTGCACGGAGCAATTTAAATGTGTCCAGTTCTATGATGTGGCACATGCATTCCCAAGTTAGACGAGGAAACTGAGGCCTGGAGTGTTAAGTGACAGCCCAAGACCCCATGGTTACAAAGTGGCAGAGCCAGCACATTTGAATTCCCTATTCAAACATGAAGCTAAGAGGCTGTTTCGCTGTTCCCACTTTCTCCCCTGGCCCTGCCTCTCTAAGCGTTGGGGGAGGGAGGGATGTTGAGGAGTCACTTGGCTCAGGCCTGGCCTTCTCAAAGCCCCCTCCTCTAGTAAGGCCAGAGCCACTCAGCCGGGCCTGAGAGAAGAGGGGATTCACCCAGCCTCCCTGCTACTTCTCACTGCCTGACGGTAGGTACCGCCTCCAGACGGCGACAAATTAATAATTGGGTAAATCCCTTAATCACCTAGCTTTAAAACATGTCATTTTGTTGTTGTTGTTGTTGCTTCATATCGCTATGTCTTCATTTTTAATTTGGTGGAAAATTTAAAAAGCGGAGTGGCCTCTCTCTCAACCTGGGAGAGGCCTCGACCCCTGCCCTCCTGCCTGAAAGGTGCAATTCAGAGGGGAACCCAGAAGCAACCCTTCTGGAAACAGCCCTGTGTCCATTGGGGGCCTGACCAGAGGCTCTGCTATCAGCATGGCCATGCTCACAGGTTGAAGCAGGTCACAACCATGGAGACCCCAGAAACTGCACGAGCAAGTACAGATGTCCAGAGGTTTCCTGAGCTTGGAGGCGGGAAGCTCTGAGGAAGCCACGAGGTCCAGACTGACAGAAGGAGGGAACTTTTGGATGCACCCTTCTTCAACCCAGTACCTACCTGGGGCAATGTGACCTTCCTCCCCACAGGACATCTCACCATGTCCAGGGACATTCTTGATTTTCACAACTGGGGGTTATACTGGCACCTAAGGGTAGAGGCCAGAGACGCTGCTACACATGCTATTATGCACAGGACAGCCACCACAACCAAGTGATCTGGCCAAAATGTCAAAAAACCCTGCTTTTACCCTTTGGGGCTGGCCTCGTGGAGGGCAGCCACACCCTCCTGGAAGCTTCCTGCAAGTCCTCATCTGATCTGAAAGCCAGAGAGGGCTGGACTGCAGGCCACTCCACAGGGGGACTTTCCCTGTCATCACCTGGCCACTCCTTCTGGCCTCTTCCTGGAGAGCTCTGCCCTCAGGTACATGTTTTCCCTACTGGTTCGGGAAACTTTGTGAAAAATCCCCTCTCGCCATCTTGTAAGCAGTAAAGATACACCATAATGTGCTTTTTCAACTGCCCCCCCCCCCCCCCCGCTGAAAAAAAAATTAGAGCAGTTAGGGGATTTTTATTATTTTAGTTCAAATAACTAAATAGTAGCAACCAACCCTTAAGACTTCAAAGCCTGGCTTCTGAAATAATTCTCAGGGAGGAAAAGTACCTAGTTCGCCTGCCCAGGGGGCACACCACTGACTCTCTGGGTAGTTTCTGCTCTGCTCAGTTCCACTCAACTCACTTCCTAAAGATTCAGCCAGAGTCTCCCTGCTCTTGTAAAACATCGGTCGGTTAGCTCTCAAAGTCTTGTGTATGGGCTCATTCACTGGGCTTTGGACTAAAGTCCCTGTCCTAGCACTAGGAATAGCCAAAGACAGTACTGAACAGGAATGAACAGAGTAGGTTTGCTGCACTTAAAAAAAATATATCTATTTTTGCCATGGTAATCCCAACAACTTGGAAGGCAGAGGCAGGAGGGTGAAGTTCAAGGCTCGCCTGGGCGATTTAGTGAGACCGTGTCTCAAGATGAAAAAAAAGTGTTGGAGGAGTAGCTCAGTGGTAGAGCATCCCTGGGTTCAATGACCATGACCTTAAGAAGTCCATTTATGAACAAAATATCCTGCTGATTTAAAACCAGGCTGATGTGATAGGTGCTGTTGTGTGGTGCCAATTACTAATACACTGACCTTCAGGTTGACACCTAGATCCCTAAACCCTTGGAGTTTCCTCCCTTTCCCTTCCCACTTTCAGGGCCGCCCTCACCTTGATACAACAACTAACCAATTATTTGCCTGACACAGCAGGGACCAGGTTTTGTTCTGACTGGCGACCGCGTGTGCTACAGAGGTCACCCCGATGAAAGATCATTTCAATCTGCTGGGGAGGGCAGTTTCCCTGCTGCTAGTCATATTCAGCTAGAGTGCTAAAAGAGTGTTTTGGATTTAGCAAAACACTCACACTGTGTTTTCCGTGTTCCAGACACTTCTAGAGAACTCTACCAACGTGTACTCATTCAAACCCTCATACAGCCTGAAAGGGGTTGGTGATATTATATTCTCCCATTTTGCAGGCGTGGAAAGGGGACACAGAGAGATTAAGTAACTTGCTCAGGTCACCCAGGAGTAAGTAGAGAGCTGGGCCTCTAGGTGGTTCTGGCTATGAAGTCTATTGCTCTCAGCTATAGGAAATAGCACCATAAAATAACAAGGTAAGGGGGCTGGGGTTGTGGCTCAGCGGTAGAGCACTTGCCTAGCATGTGCAAGGCACTGGGTTTGATTCTCAGCACTGCATAAAAATAAATAAATAAAATAAAGGTATTGTGTCCAACTACAATTAAAAAAAAAAAATACGAGGTAGGACTTCTTTCTTTCTTGCCAAACCGGCGTTTTAAGAAAAGTTTACGAATAAATACATTTTTTTTTTAAGTACTGAGGAATGAATGAGTGGTGCTCTACCACTAAAGCATCCCCAGTTCTTTTTGTTTTTTATTGTGAGACAAGGTCTCACTAAGTTGCCCAGGCTGGCCTCCAATGTATAATCTTTCTGCCTCAGCCTCCCCAGATGCTGGGATGACAGGCGTGCAACACCATACCTGGCACAAATAATTCTTTAAAACTCCCGCCTTCAACATGTAGAGCCTTGTTCATCTTCCTTCCAGCGTGAGCTTGGTTTAGTGCCTCATGTTTAGTGAATAGAACAAAGCAGAGAGGATGGGATCACAAAAAGTAATATATACCTCTCCCTCTCTTCTCTCTATTACTTATGCAGGGGGAAGCCTGCTGTCATGTCATGGGGACACTCAGGCAGCCCTGTGGAGAGATGCATGCGAGGAGGAACCCAGGCCTCTTGCCAACAGCCGTGTGAGTGCGCCATCTTGGAAGCGGATCTTCCAGTCCAGCCTTCAGATGAGACAGCTCCAGCCAATAGCCGACCTTGCTTGAGAAGCCCTGATCCAGAGCCACTCAGCCAAGCTGTTTCTGGATTCCTGACCTCCCAGACCTGAATGGATAAGGGGAGATTGTTGTTTAAAGCTGCTAAGTGTTAGGGTAATTTAATCCTGGAGGCTCTGCCTTACCCAACTGCGGTAACTGTGGTAACTGTGTAGAAACTTTGGAGGAGGCTGTCACCCAAAATGAACCCAACTCTACTTCTTTTAGAAACTTGAGGCCACTCAGGCATTTCCATTCATTTGTCCTCCCCACCCCACACTCCCCTGCCCTTCGTTAGTCCCAGTTGGAGAGATCCTTTGAACTTCCTTTTCCTTGCCTGGGTTTCCACAAAGTTCATACAAAGCACAGCTTTATCTGGTACCACAACATTATTACCTTACTGCAGTTAAAGAGTTGCAAGCCTAATAAAATAGACTAGTGTCAGGAGATTTGGAGATGTGGTGGGTTTTGGCTTTTTTTTTTTTTTTTCTAGAATTAAGTTGGCTGCACCATGGCTGTTGAGCCTTGCTCAAATATACCTGACTGCTTGAGTTCAAATCCTGGCTGTGCCAAGTGCTGGATATGTGACCTTGAGCAAGTTATCAGACTTTCCGTGCTTCATCTGTCACATCTACAGCTTGGAGAATCTAATTATAATACCTGCTCAGTTGAGTTCTTGGAAAGAGTGAAAAGACAGGTGTTAGAGTTCAGTCCTTAAGAGCACAGGCTGTGGAGATAGATTGTCTGGGTTTGAGTCCTGGTCCTACCCACTTTACCAGTGGTATGACCTTGGGAAATTTACTTAGGCTTTTTTTTTTTTTTTTTTTTGAGCAGGGAGGAGGAGTATTAGGGATTGAACTCAGGGGCACACGACCACTGAACCACATCCCCAGCCCTATTTTATATTTTATTTAGAGACAGGGCCTCATGGAGTTGCTTAGCTCCTTGCTTTTGCTAAGACTGGCTTTGAACTCAGGATCCTCCTGCCTCAGCCTCCTGAGCCTCTGGGATTAGAGGCATAAACCACTGTGCCTGCTACTTTTGCCTCAATATTCCACATCCATATAATGAAAGAAGAGACAAAAGTACTTACCTTCTATGACTATAGGAGAATTAAATGTATCCATTCATGTGCAGTTCCTGGCACATGGTAATACATGACAGGGATGCTGATATAGTTGTGCAGGTGGTTCACTGTTCAAATGGGAGCTTGTCCAGGCTGTTAGCAGGCAATTGCTTACCTAGAGTTGGCCCTGTTTTCTAATTTGTACCAGGGCCATGGATGGGGCTTATGCTGTCAGTCTCAGGGATTCAAATATTCAGTAAATATACCTTAGTAAGGTTCTTTGGCTTTGAGCTGATATTATTGGACTTATTCTGGGTATATCACAACTACTCCTTGGTAGTTTCATGGAATTCTCCAAAATAATCTCTGTGGGATGCCTATAGGCCAAGCCCTGCTGTTATTATTCAAACAGTGTATTGGAAACCAAATAAGAAATCTTAACAATATAAAAAGTTTAAGATCATGCAGGACAATACTTGATGCTTAGTTATACCTACAGACAGAGTTCAAATACAGAAATATAGTTCAAAATATAGAAAAATGCACAGGAATGACAAAGACCACATTCTAGATTACGGCTTAACCTGGGGTGAGGAGAGCATGGGTTTAGGAAGCAGTGTACAGGAATCTTAAGCTCTGCTCAGAATTTATTTCTTAAGCTGAATAGGATACACAACAGTGTTTATTATTTTTTAATCTTAAATATATAAAAATAATTTATTAGTAATATTATTGAGTGAGACCCGTCTTTCTAAGTGGGTGATCATTTTGCATTTCTCTCTGCATTAGTCTCTGTTGAACACTGAATCACTATATTGACAGGACCCCACAGAATCAAGTAGCCATTCACTCAACCAATATTAACTGTTGAATGACAGAGCGTTCAAAGAATGGAGAACGTCATCGGTACATTATGACACAGATGTTGGGTTATTTGACTATTTTCCCTTCTTTCTTTGAAAGTGGGGGCGCTCTGTCTGCTACCTAAGAGGTGATAAACAAATGTCAATTGAAACTGAATAAAACACAGATATGATCCTTATTGTCCTTAAAGAGCTCCAAAATACCCAGGTTGAGAGAAGATAGAAGACAATGCAGGTCCCGAGCCCCTTAAATCTGAGCACTCTTACTGATAACTCTTTTCAGGCCTCTCCTAGAGACCAGACATGTGACAGTGAGACAAGGGGCACAGTCCTGGGACTGTTCATGGCGTCTTCTCTTCACCTTCATCACCACCCCCTGGTCTGCGCCACCATCATTTCCTGCTTCGGTTGTTGTGGTGATCGGTGCTGTCATCCTAGCTGGTCTCCCCACTTCCACTTTTCTCCCCACAGTAAAATCTCAACTGTGTCCAGAGACGTCCATGAAACCTCACTTGGAACACAGGACTCCTCTGCTCTCAGACCTCCCATGGCTTCCCACCTTGGGGGACAGCAGACGTGGCCACATTCCTCCAATGTCTCCCATGAGGAGGTGGAATCTGTTTTTCAGTCCCCTGCGTCAGGCTGGCCTTGTGGCTTTCTTCAGCCAGAAGAATGTGGTGGATGGATCTCTGCTCGTTCTGAGCTTGGGCCTTAGGAAGATTTGGATGCTTCTGCTATGACCCAGAGTCCTGCAGTTACCACGCAGCAAGCCCAGGCATGACCGTTGGGGGAGAAAGACCATGTGGAGGAGAGTTGCCCAAGAAAAGGCCATCTCAGACCAGCCAGTTATCAGCCAGCTTATCAGTTCGCTGAGATCAGACTAGTCCCATCTTCTAGAATCTTCTATATAACCCGCAGACTCATAAGCTAAAAACATGGCTGTTTTAAGCCATCAAGATTTTTTTCTTGCTTTGTTACACAGTGGAAGCTAACTGATACACCATCTCATTCAAAGAAAAAGTAAAAAAAAAAAAAATTAGACTACCTTACTAACTTATCCAAAGTACTTACAGCATTGTCTGGTATGTGGTAGGTGCTCAATGAATACTTGTTGAAATAATTAAGAAATTCATAAATGGAATTAACATTCAAATGAAGAAAATAAATAAACTAGTAAAATAATTATAAAATGTAGGAAATGCTATGAAGGAAATGCAGTAGCTGAGGTAGAGAATAAGAGTCGGATGGGAGGGCAGACCCTCTTTGGTTCTCTACTTGTTTCAGCACAAAAGCTAAAATCCTTCCAGTGGCCTCCAAGGCTGTACATGACCTGACCACCCCAAGCACACGAATCCTTGCTGATGCCCCTGCTGATGCCCTTGCTGATGCCCTTGCTGATGCCCTTGCCTGGGATGTTCTTTCCTTCCACATTCACACCCTTCACCCCTCCCTTCCTTCAGGTCTCTGCTCAGATGTCACCCTTTTGCCAGGTCCTTCCTGACCACCTCACAGAAAAAGCAACCACTGACCCCTAAGATTCCCAAATTCCCTACCCTGCTGCATCCACAGCACCAGTGACCTTCTCAATGAAGTTTGTTTTGGTCAATTTATGCTTAAGACATTATCGTCTTAGGGCATAAATTCAGCCAATGGTACAAGAAGGGGCGGGGGACACTAGGGAAGAATATAGTTACATTAGAGGGGAGCAAAGGGAGGGGAGGAGAGGGGACATGGGGATAGGAAGAATAGTAGGATGAAATAGACATTATTACCTTATGTACATATATGACTGCATGACCCATGTGATTCTACAACATGTACCATCAGAAAAATGAGAAAACATACCCTATTTATGTACGACATATCATAGATATATCATATACATGATATATATGTATATAAAGTGTATAAATGCATTCTACTGTCATGTAGAGCTAATTAAAACAAATTTTAAAAATAATAAAAAAATTTAGCCCGTGGATACCCAAATACTTTAGGGACTACAACGTCAATCTTAATATTTAGCAAGGCCAGCATTTGTCTTTGAGACACACAGGGAATAAGACAAGGTCTCCCCCCACCCCTTTATTTTTAAAGCTCAGATGCTCAGGTCAGAATTGGATTGCTTACTGAAAACTCTACAAATGTGCTCATGACAAGGGTAGCAATACACTATAAGTCACGGCCACCGTGGTAGCACACTTTATAGATTGCGAGGGACATTCTAATCCAAGTTATTACTCATTCCTTGCTGTCCGTGGGAGATAGGAGGGACAGGTTTTATCATCTTCCACAAGGGACAAAGACAACACGAGGTCAAGCGAGTTGTCTGAGCTTTGAGACCACAACAGGGTGGAGCCAGAATTCAAATTATAGTGAGTCTAACTCCAGGTCCAGTGCCTCTCTCTGTCTTTCTCCATTCTGGGCTCTGAACTGGTGATCTTGACTCCAAGAGTCAGGGCCAATCCTGAGCTCCTGCAGAGGGAGGGTCCTTCAGGACCCTTCTCTAGAGAGGGCATGCGCTCCCAGCCGAGAGGTTCCAGCATGAACTGGCCATGAACGGGTTCCAGCATCCCTCCTAGAGTTCCCTTGTGGCTTTCAGATGTACCCAACCTCTTATATTGACAAGAAAGAACAGCGCCCCTGGGCCACTTTGTCCCCAGGTCACCCTGAGGCTGGCTAGACTGTGAGAAAGGCCCAGCCCAAGACAGGGTGGACAGCTGTTTTCAGTAGAAAACCAGAAAGAAATCCCAGCCCTGCCGTTTTATTTTGGTTTAAAAATCAAGTCGTGTGACAACGGAAACTCTTTCCCGGCTGCCCTGTCCTCCCTGCCATGTTGACAGCAGCCTGACTTGCTCATTCTGGCTGGGGATTTTCCCTGCGGCCTGTTTTTCTCTTTTATCTTCATCAATTGAAGAGAGCTGCTCTGCCTTGCAAACTGTCAGAAGGCTTCTGGGGTTCGGTGTATTTTTTTTTTTCTTTCACATAATTCTGGGTCTTTTCCCAGATATGTATTTTCTCTCCGACTACCTTCTAACTTGTTGAAGTTTCCGCCCACGTGACTTCCAGCATGAATTACCAGAAACCACAAGAGAGAGAGCGCGCGCAAGCCCCAAAGTGAGCGAGATGTCCCTGTGGGGAGCAGTCCCCCTGCACCCCAGAGCAAGGAGGACGCAGGGGTCAGAGGTGGCTGCAGGGCCAGTAGGGGAGGCACCTGTGGAGGGTGGAGGGCTGGTGGCCCAGGGACAGCCAGGAAGGGAGGCCAGCTGGTGACCCGAGAGCCCAGAGGCATCTGGGGCCGTGTGTGAGAGCCCGGAAGAGTTCAGCCATGCCACACAGCTCCGACAGCAGCGACTCCAGCTTCAGCCGCTCGCCTCCCCCTGGCAAGCAGGTAGGGTCCCCGCTCCCTCTCTCCTACCCTCGGATTCTCCTGGGGGGCAGGAAGCCGGGCAGTCTTTCTTGTCCTGCTCAGGGAGCTGCAGAGAGAGGAAGTGGCTTGTGGCATGAATACTCTATGAGACTGAGACATGGCATCTGTAGTGAAGCCGTGCACAGTGGCCTCTGCTCTGCCAAAGCCCCTTTTCCTCTCCATTCCCCAATGGTGCCCATTGTCCCTGCCTTGCAGGTGTCCCCCATGAAGCTTTCTAAGTAGCAAAGGGGAGGATGAATGTCAAATAACTCAGAGGAAGTGGTCCACTCTTCTCTCCGGCACTGGAAAAGTGACTGGAGGAGCCTTAAGTTGCCTGCACAGCCCAAATCCTGGATGTGTCGTTTCCTTGGAAGAGTCACAAGGGCATGAGAGCAAAGGGGTCAAGGTGGGCTTTGGGAACAAGTTGACGGGAGGAGAAGGAACCTGGCGCAGGGCGATCTCTGCTGAGGTGCTGCCTCTGTCCCCACACCTGCCATCAGGGAGAGAGATGCTGGAGCTGCAGCCAGTGCCTCTTTACTCAGTGGCTTCTGGACAAGAGGAAGGAAATAAAGGGGAGATGGCCCTGGGAACCTGCTGGAGACATTTGCTAGTAGCTTACCTCAGCTCTGGGAAAGGAAGGAATTGAGGCAGGGGTTCCGGGAGATTTTAGAATCTAGATTGATTTCCAAGTCAAGAGTTTTCAGCTTGAATTGCCAAGACCTTGGGCTCTCTACTCACCTCACGGCTCCTGGGGGCTTCCTCTTTGCCACATCCTTAACATCCCGCCCCAGGGAAGTCCTTGTCCTTCTCCTCCAACGTATCTATCTTCATGGATTAAAATCTTCCCCACCTCTGAGGTTCAACAACTGCATTCTTTTCTTAGCATAGATATCCAAGGGGCTTTCAAAATGCCCAGCCCAAACGAAGGAAGGTAAATGTCAGACAGAGAGCATCTATCCTTAGCAGCTAACCCGAGAGAGAAGTCCCGGTGGAGACCTCTAGAGGGCAGACCATCCAAGTTCAAGATGGTATCGGAGTGGCTGGGACTGCCTGGAAGTCTGTGCTGTACTTTTCTTAGGAAGGAAATTACTCATGGCTTCCATGGTAATCTGGTCCCCGTGCCCCTTAGAGGAAAAGCACGCCCTCCTATCTCACCCAGTGCCCTCCGACGGCAATGACCCGGGAGTGCGGCACTTGCTGGGGAGCGCAGAGTCTGGCTTGGGATCTGCGCCCTCTGGCCAGCAGGGAGGTGCCTAGGCTTCTCTCAGGCGTCTACGCATCGCGGAGAAAGCTGGAGCCAGCCTCTCCAGCCAAGCAGAAGACATACCCATCATAGGGTGTAATTAGAGAACACCCCGGGGTCCATATCCTCCCGCGCACCCACCCTTGACCTCCGACAGCAGGCAGCCTCCCTAATGAGTCCATTCTTTTTGGCATTTTTTTTTTTTGTACTGGGCGTTCTGATCCGGGCGTGGGAAATGTCAAACTGGCTGAGCAGAATGAAGGGAATGAAGGAAAAGAAAAGCTCTGGGCTGGGGCCCTTGGCCCCCCCGGGTGTGGCCGAAGACCTCATGGGATACATAACAGTGAGGTCACTGGTGGTGAGGAGGTCTTGGGAAGGCTTTGGACTCAGCACCGCAAGGGGCGATACTCCCAGATTACTGTGAGCTCCTGGGCCAGCTCATAGGGCCTCAGGTTCTTCCCGGGTACAACAGAAATAATGACGCCCGCTTCGCAGAACTGGGAAATTAAACAAGAGCACCTCTGAAAACACTCGAGCAGAAGTTGACACATAGTAGATGCTCAACAAGGTTTGGGGATGAAAAGAAAAGAAAACAGCCAAAAAGAACAGCAAGGGGGTTCTAGGAGAAATGTGTGTGTGTGTGTGTGTGTGTGTGTGTGTGTGTATGAGGGTGAGGGTGGAGCAGCCCTGAAGAGGAGGAGAGGCGACAGACACTGCCTTCATTGGCTTCACCATTGTTGCTCAAAACAGCCCCATTGAGGCCTCGAGATCTCATGCTTCTTCCTATAGTTTTTGGCCAAATAAGACATAGACAGACCTGAGGATGTGTAACAGGGTATGGAAAAGAATGCTCCTGTGGCTGCAGGCTTTTGGAAAATAAGGGGATGGATGGGTGCATGAAGAGATGAAGACAAGGAAGGTTGGATGGATGGATAGATGGATGGAAGGATGGATGGAAGGATGAATGGAAGGATGGATGGATATAAGGATGAATGGAAGGATGGATGGATGGATGGATGGATGGATGGATGGAAGGATGAATGGAAGGATGGATGGGTGGAAGGATAGAAGGATGGATGGAAGGGTGGGTGGATGGGTGGAAGAATAGAAGGATGGATGGAAGGATGGATGGATGGATGGGCGAATACCAAGTACCACAAAAGCCTACTTTACTTCAGAAGAGAAGAGCAAACTCCTAATTCCCATTATCTCTACCTCCTAGGACTCCTCTGACGATGTAAGAAAAGTTCAGAGAAGGGAGAAAAATCGCATTGCAGCCCAGAAGAGCCGACAGAGGCAGACACAGAAAGCTGACACCCTGCACTTGGTGAGTGCTGAGAGCTTGGGCTTTGCTCTCCAAACCCATGGACCCTTGGACCACAGCTTTGATTCTGTCTGTGTGGGGATGTGTAGGTGGGGAGAGTAAGAGGAGGGTGAGGGCTTTAAGGTGGGGAGGACAAGCTCTCCTGTGATGTATTTGAAAAATTCTGTAGCAGAGAATATGCCAGAGGCTGAAAGAGAAATGAATCTTTCTCCCTGGGAAGAGTCAAGGAGTGGACACATTGGGTGTTGGAAGCCCAGAGGCTGGGTAGGATGGAAGACAGAATCACTGGCTTGGAGAGGGGATAGCCAGAGAGAGTTCCGTCCTCATAAGCCACCGAGAGCAGAAGGTGGACTGACTTGGGGAGGAATTGAGATGTTAAGTGCTTTGGGGAGCTTGTTATCCTACAGTGCTAGGACCACACAAAGTCTCATCCCTTTGGAAGGCAGCTGGGGAACCACCCAAATGTCCTTGCATTTGGGACAAGGAAGTCCACAGAATGCTACATCTTACTCCTTTATTCTAAGCATCATTAAAGTTCTATTTTGAAATTTCTATCATTAATGATATCCCCATGTGAAAGATACAAGTTCAAGTGCAAACATCTGGTCTAGTGCCCATCCTTACCTCTTGATCCAAGCCTTTCTAGAGCAGGCTGAACTCTCGACTTGGGCACAAGGGTACGGGGTGGGGCCGAGGGGCAGCTCCACTGGTGGCCCAAGGTCTTAGTAGTGCTTCTGACTCCCGGCTGTGTGCTTCATAAAGCAGAGCTTCCTCGGCATCTCCCCATCCTCCCCTCCCCCTTTGACTCTGCCTCTACTTGGTTCTTTGTTTGACCAGCTCTTACTTCACTGGTTCCCTCCTCTTCCATCCCCTCATTCCTTCCTCTAGCAACTGGATCTTCCCGTCCTTCCAGAAACATTCCCATATCTTGAATAATCTAGTACTTTCTTTCAATGGTAAAAAGAAGTACAACTGGTACCAAAAAATGAATACGCTTGTATTATTTGGATGATTAGCATGGCACCTGACCAATTAGCATGACTATTTTTACCTCATCAAGACTAAGATACTGTTTTGCCCAAGGTGCAGGCATATGCTTATAATCACAGTGACTAGGGAGGCTGAGGCAGGAGAATGGCAAGTTCAAAGCCAGCCTCAGCAACTTAGCAAGGCCCTAAGCAACTTAGTGAGACCCTGTCTCCAAATAAAACATTTTTAACAAGGGCTGAGCCTGTGGCTTAAGAGTGCCTCTGGGTTCAATCCCCAGGACAAATAATAATATATAGTTTTAAAGGGAACAAAAGATGTTTCTTCATCTTTGTCAGGAAACCAAGAATAGGCTGCACCAACCTCTCTGATTGGTTCTTTTGCTTTATTTGAAATGTAGTTGGTATATCCTCCTTTGCAAGCTAACAATTTTAAGTCCATAAATATGTGTCAAATTGGAAAAAAAATGAATGAACAGCAAGTGTGTACTAACTGTGGTCAACAGTCTAAATGCTAAGCTGTTGGCATCCCTGCTACTGACATGCTCCCTCTGATTTCTTTGTGGCCTAGAGTCACATGGAAACACTCCCATTTGCTATTTTAAACGTGAACATTTACGATCCATCACTTTCTCTGAGTCTACTTCTTATTTAAACCAAGCAAACAAATAAATATCAACTTAAAAGGTTAAAAGCTTCTTTTTTTTTTGTACAAGTTTACAATGTCCTGAGACAGGCAAACTACTATAAACTGTATATGTTTTTAATATTTTTTTAAAAAAAAGAAGTGGAAAATAAATAGAGGTCAGCAGCTCGGTGGTCAGAGGACAGGGTTTGAATCCCAGCTCTGCCACTTGCTATCTATTATCCTTGTGACTGACTCTAGAGTCATTCCCAATCTCCCTTAGACTCTGATTCCTTATCTGTAGAATGGGAAATGACAGTAACTACTTCCTAGGGAAGTGCAGAAAACGAGCTCAACACAGTGCCTGGCATACAAAAATACTCCAAAAATTTAATTACAAGATTGATAATAATAGTTAATAGTATAAGAAGTAAGATAAAAAAAAATCACAACTAAGTTACACACACACACACACAGATTTTCACAGAATCTCAGGGTTGAGAGATTTCTTTAAGGCTGAAAAGTTTAGGCACACTTTTTTCTTTTTTTGGTACCAGCGATTGAATCCAGGACATTTAACCACTGAGCCACATCCGCTTTAAAATTTTTTATTTAGAGACTAGTTCTCACTAAGTTGCTTAGGGCCTCATTATGTTGCTGAGGCTGGCTTTGAACTTGCTATCCTCCTGCCTCAGCCTCTTGAGTCACTGTGATTACAGGCGTGCACCATCACACCCGGCTCAGGCACTTTTGATGCCTAAGAAAAGGATCTTGTAACCTCTAGTGCTAGATAGCTCCCTCTCTTCTAACATATGGAGAGGTCCCCCCCCTCATCTTGAGCTGCACCCCATCTCCCTATAAATCTAACCCCCTGGTGTCCGTCCACCCCCTTGGGTGCATACCAATGAGCAGAAACATGTGCCTCTTTGCAGCAGCAAGGTTTCCATCTCTGACTCGGCTGTCCTCTGTAAATCAAGAGTCAGAACCAAAAGATTGAGCCTAATTATACTGGTTGTGACTACCTGGGGGTAATTTCTGGAACTTGTAGGTGAATGGAGCCTCCAGTCATGGGGTCAGCATATCTACCGTCACACCCCAGCCTCAATCTCTAGAATGTTCTCATTCTCCCCACATCTGAGCTCAAACTCCTCACCCACTTCTTTCTTTTGAGCACCACAACATTCATCTTCACTTTTCTCCCAGTGAGCAGATCACAACGGAATCTACGCAGCAAGCCTGTGGACTGCTGTCAATGCAATTTGTTTTTCTTGGCTTCAGGTGGGAGCTTGGGCAGCAGCATATAAATTTTCACCATCAGACAGAGAGCTTGGCCGTGGTTTGCACTGTTCATTTCCTCTTGGTCAACAGATGCCCTTCTTTCCCATACCTTGTCCTCTCAATCACATTTGTAATTCAGGTAGAAGCTTCTATTCACCACCTGAGTCGGGTTTCACGGCTGGTTTTGCCCTTGACCCCTTTCCACGCTTGCTATACATGAAATCTTCTGGCACCGAATTTCTCTAGCTGAAGGACTCATCCAAAATTTTGCAGACCAGGCTTTAGAAATTATGGTATCAAATAAGGGCCATGCTTGTCTTGGGGTCTAGCCTCAAATGCTGGGGTGACATTGTTTTCCTGGTTTCAACTGTCTCATCTCTCCAGTGAGAGTAAGGGATTCTGGCTATTGGACATTTGAGTAGCTGTCCTATTCATGGCTCCCACCAACACACATTGATTCCTTTTAAAATGACAGGAGGGAAAGAACATTTAGTGATGACTGTGTTACAAAATGAACCAAGGTGACACATAGTGGATCAAGTGATTCTTTTTGTAATTGTTACAAAAACAGAGTCTACATACAGTTTTGATTCTCTTTCAGTTTGATGTCTCACACAAGTGCCCATTATACTTAGTTCTTTTTCTCCCACGGGCAACTGTAGGGTCCCTTAGGTACAGTACAGATGTCAACTAGAAGAAGAAAGGCATGACTTGCCCAGTTAGTTCCTAAAAATCTCAGCAGCGAAATAAGTGGATCCAAGATAATCAGTTGAAAAACCATTAGAACTAATAAGAGAATACAGACAGCTTCCAAAATTAAAATAAAAAGTAATACCTTTCCTACATGCAAACCATAACAAATTAGTAAATTTAATGGAAGGAAAAATCCCAACCACCACCATTATATGAGAAAGGGGTCTGGGGTTGTGGCTCAGAGGTAGAGTGCTTGCCTAGCATGGATGAGGCACTGGGTTCGATATTCAGCACCTCGTAAAAATAAAATAAAGGTATGTGTTCACCTACGACTAAAAAAATAAATGTTTGAGAAAGGAATAAATTTAACAAAAATCATGAAGGGTTTAATTAAAAAATTTAAGTGATTCTAAATGACTTTTTAAAAATTCAAAAACTAAATAGAAAGATGTATATTATGTAAAGTTAATATTTTCATTAAATTAATCTATAAATTTAATGTACTCCCAATAAAAATTCAGTAGGGTCTTCTGGGAATTGGGGAAGAACTAGATGAGCTATTCTAAATTCTCAGTGAAAAAAGAACCGTCTGAAAATTGCCAAGAAAATGCTAAAGAAGAAGGGGAATGAGGGATTAGCAGACTAAGCTGAAACGATTTGGAAAAGACAGAACATTGAACAGATTACAGAAACAGACCCAAAAACAAATTTAAAATTTAAGAGCCAAATATCTGTGACAATTCCTAAGACATTAGAACAAATTCAAGACAACCAGGATGACATTTCATTCCCCTGAGGGAGGGCAGAATTCTTCCATAGAGTTGGGACAACTGACTCATCACTTGGGAAAAAGGGGAAAAAATGGACCCTCCATTCCTTATATAACACACAGAGACAGATTAAATCAAAAAAGAAAGAAACTTGGGGGAAAAAAAACATGCATGTTAAAAAATTGATCTTAGCCTGAAGAAGTCTTTTTCAAATAAAATAAAAACTCCTGAGACTACAAAGGAAACAAATTGATATATATAAACTTTATGCATTAAAAAGTGAAAAAACTTCTATATAGTTCAAAATACTACATGCTAACTCAAAGGCAAATGATAAACTGGGGGAAAAATATCTGTAACATTTATGACCATAAAAGGTATGTTTACTTAATATATGAAAGCTCTTATGAATAGGAAAATGATTAACAACCCCAAAGAAAAATGAGCAATGATTATGAATAGGCGACTTCCAGAGAGAGATAAATGGCAAATAAATACGTGCAAATATGCTAGACTTCACTTATATAGGGAAATGCCAATTAAAGCAAAAGTGAGATTTCTCTGCCAGATTGGCAAAAAATAAAATGCTGCTAAATCATGATGTTGCCAAGGCAATGGAAAGGCAGAACCATCACATGCTGCCGGTAGGAG